GTCGTCAGTTGATCCCAGCCTTACAGACCCACCCTCAGCTCCACCTCTCTTTTTGTCTGAGCTTGATGGCGGTGGTGGCCACCTCCCATTTGTCTTCAAAAACGTGTTATTGGAGCCTTTGGAAACCCATTGTCCATTATTTATATGTTGATAGTTCAGACACACATCCTAGAAGTGTGCTTTTATTTTGAAAGGCACTCTCGAATGAGAACACCGTAATTTCTCTTATAATAGGCTAGATGCCGCCGACTTCCGCTTTGCCGGTTCCGGGTTTTTCAGCCAGATGTTGTGCTTCCGGTGCACTGTGACCCAGTTCGGCTATGGCGTTCTTTACAAGATCACTTCAGGATTTGCCAAGGATAACTGTGAACAACGTTCACAGGATTATTCAAGCCACTACCAAGACACCAGCATCAAAGAAGGATAAGGGTTTTAAGCTGTATGTGTCGAGTTATTTACACAATTATGAAGGTAAGTTGAGCTTCTGTTTTGGCCTGTATTTGATTTACTAAATGCTGAGACATGCTAGCTTAAGTTAGCACAGTGAAGAAGAGTCATTCAAGCTACGTTTACCATGTTTTCAGAGTGATAGGTGAACCTAATATATATTTAGCGTTTTTAACATGAAATACTTTAAACTGCATGTTGATCTCAGTTTCCAGCAAGGAGTCAGGAGAGGTGACGGTTAGGTCAGAGTGCTTCAGAGCCATGAAGAAAAGCCAGAAGCCTCACTGCCTCAGCGTAAGGAAAAGTCACTCTATATGCCATGTTCATTTCAGGTTCAACAAATGTTTTTGTCTTTTTTTAAATCAAGTCTTCAAGTTGTGTCATTGCTCTGTAGCTATATGATACAGATAAGTGAACCATTAATAAAAGGTGTCGCAAACATGAGGGATGTCGGTGCTAAACAGTTTCACTTTTCCAGCTGATTAGTTTGAAACTGTCCGGCTTCCTGCGCGTTCTCTTAACATCAGTGCTCTGTCAGGCTAATGATTGCGCACATTCTTATGTAAACAAACACAATCGTTTTAGTTATTAGAGATCGCTTTTTGTTTACTCGAGACCCTTTTGTTTATTAATTCCCAGATTACTGGATAACCTTTTTGTTTCCCCATTTCTTATTTCAGCCCAGAGAGCTGTTTTTGTTAATAAACTTCCTTCTAAGAGTTTAAATTTGGTTGGTTTCATTCCCAGACATCTTTCTTTACTCCCTCCAAATAACATCATACTCCTAGCCGAGCTGAGGGACGTAAAACATGATAACATACTAACATGGCACTGAGGTACACATGTTCAGCTGTAAAACAACAACCTTGTATCCAGTCTGGTATCATTTTGCACATTTTAAAGTTCATTAACCAATGTTCTCCGAAAAAAAGTGAATACAGTGTTTAAAGTTGTCTTCTTTCATTTGCTGTTATAGTCTGACTAATATTTTGTATTGTAAAAGATGGTGCTACGGGATTCGAAGCCAGTGGTGCTCCTGAGGTGCCAGTGTACCTGTGTGGCAGGCACAGCCCTGTGCAGTCATGTAGCGGCTGCGGCTCTGCTGTACCAGACGGCCCACTACTCTCAGCTGTGGCTTACATCAGTTCCCCCAGTGTTCAGCTGTACAGAAACTGAGCAAAAGTGGCATAAACCAAGGACCATGGTAACAAGATTTTATATTAGCTTTTCAAGTAATGTATGGACATCACTTGAATGTTACTTAAACATTTTTTATGTGAATACAGGGTATGAAACCTGTTCCAGTGAATGACATGGTGATAGTATCAGCCAGGCCAAGAGATAGGAGACTGTTGGAAGGAATCAAGTATGTGATGTTGTCTGTACTACACATAAACTCAAATTCATTTGGATGCGTGTACTTACACATACAGAGAAGTCCTCACCAGCTTGAGTTAGGTATACACTATGCAGAGGTTGATTGAAGTGGAACATGCAGTTCTGTCTGTCCTAATCTATCTTATCCATATCTTGCTTCTATCTATATCTGTATCTTTCTATCTTTTCTCATATATATATATATATATATATATATATATATATATATATATATATATATATATATATATACACATACAGGTGCTGGCCAGTAAATTAGAATATCATCAAAAGGTTGAAAATATTTCAGTAATTCCATTCAAAACGTGAAACTTGTACATTATATTCATGCAATGCACACAGACCAATGTATTTCCGATGTTTATTACGTTTAATTTTGATATTTATAGGTGACAACCAATGAAAACATCAAATCTGGTATCTCAGAAAATTAGAATATTCTAAAGGCCAATGAAAAAATGTTTGTTTCTCTAATGTTGGCCAACTGAAAAGAATGAACATGAAAAGAATGTGCATGTATAGCACTCAATACTTAGTTGGGGCTCCTTTTGCCTCAATAACTGCAGTAATGCGGCGTGGCATGGACTCGATCAGTCTGTGGCACTGCTCAGGTGTTATGAGAGCCCAGGTTGCTCTGATAGTCGTCTTCAGCTCCTCTGCATTGTTGGGTCTAGCGTATTGCATCCTCCGCTTCACAATACCCCATAGATTTTCTATGGGGTTAAGGTCAGGCGAGTTTGCTGGCCAATCAAGGACAGGGATACCATGGTCCTTGAACCAGGTGCTGGTGGTTTTGGCACTGTGTGCAGGTGCCAAGTCCTGTTGAAAGGTGAAGTCTGCATTCCCATAAAGTTGGTCAGCAGCAGGAAGCATGAAGTGCTCTAAAACTTCCTGGTAGACGGCTGCATTGACCCTGGACCTCAGGAAACAGAGTGGGCCAACACCGGCAGATGACATGGCACCCCACACCATCACTGACGGTGGAAACTTTACACTGGACCTCATGCAACGTGGATTCTGTGCTTCTCCGCTCTTCCTCCAGACTCTGGGTCCTTGATTTCCAAAGGAAATGCAGAACTTGCTTTCATCAGAAAACATAACTTTGGACCACTCAGCATCAGTCCAGTCCTTTTTGTCCTTGGCCCAGGCGAGACGCTTCTTGCGCTGTTTCATGTTCAAGAGTGGCTTGACACACGGAATGCGACACCTGAATCCCATGTCTTTCATGAGTCTCCTCGTGGTGGTTCTTGAAGCGCTGACTCCAGCTGCAGTCCACTCTTTGTGGATCTCCCCCACATTTTTGAATGGGTTTGTCGTCACAATTCTCTGCAGGGTGCGGTTATCCCTAGAGCTTGTACACTTTTTTCTACCACATTTTTTCCGTCCCTTCGCCTGTCTGTTAATGTGCTTGGACACAGAGCTCTGCGAACAGCCAGCTTCTTTAGCAATCACCTTTTGTGTCTTGCCCTCCTTGTGCAAGGTGTCAATGATTGTCTTTTGGACAGCTGTTAAGTCAGAAGTCTTCCCCATGATTGTGGTGCCTTCAAAACAAGACTGAGGGACCTTTTAAAGGCCTTTGCAGGTGTTTTGAGTAAATCAGCTGATTAGAGTGGCAGCAGGTGTCTTCTATATTCAGCCTTTTCAGAATATTCTAATTTTTTGAGATACCAAATTTGGAGTTTTCATTAGTTGTCACTTATGAATATCAAATTTAAATGTAATGAACATTGGAAATACATTGGTCTGTGTGCATTGCATGAATATAATGTACAAGTTTCACGTTTTGAATGGAATTACTGAAATATTTTCAACCTTTTGATGATATTCTAATTTACTGGCCAGCACCTGTATATATAATATTTCTCTTATGTCTCTCTATCCCATCTATGTTTGTATCTGATCTACATATTTCTATTTTTTGTTAGTTTTCTCTCATCTATCGCAATCTTTCTGTCATAAAATTTACTTGCCTTTTTTCACAGAAGTAATTTGTATAAAGCAGTCAACTGCCCTCTCCCAGACATCTCCATTTTGAAGGTTCAGGAAGCGTATCATGGATTGGATGCAGCTGAAGCTTCCATGATCACAACCATGGCCATCTCCAGTGATGTACCTCTGGTTGAGTCTGCGTTTGGTCCAGTGCAGGAGGGAAGTGTGCTATCCTATCAGCTACCTGTGAGGAAGGACCCGAACACCCGTCCACACACAGACACCCCTTCTCCACCACAGCTGCCACTCTCACATTACCAACTGGAACCTGCTGCCTGTGCCTTTGTCCTTACGGAGCATCAGCGCCATCATCTGGCTTCGCTGGCGACATCATTTGAAATGTCACACAAAATCGAAAACAGCACACGAGAGCAGAGTTCCTGCAGTGAGTGGCACCAGCTAAGAAGATGCCGGATAAAACCAACCAAATTCAGAGAGGCGTGTCACACAAGAGCAGAAAGTTCAGCTGAAAACCTTGCGAAAAGTCTTCTGGGACCGTCCTACCAAACTGCTGACATGCGCCGGGGTCTTGCCTTAGAAAATATTGCAATAGGAGTATTTCAAGTTGAGGGAGGTCAACCACTACCCATGTGGGTTCCTGATACACCCAGATGCACCATGGATGGGAGCAACACCTGATGGGATTGTGTATGATCCTGAGGGTCAGCCAGTGTTTGGCCTGCTAGAAATTAAATGTCCAAATGTACACAGCTATGTGGACTGCCCTTACATTGTCATCAAAGAGGGTACGCACACATTGAGGCAGTCCAACCCTTATTACTGGCAGGTCCAGTGACGGATGCTGATTTCTGGATGCGAGTGCTGTGACTTCGTTGTTTACACTGAAGAAGACTTTGCAGTGACCGAGAACTGAAGTCTTTTGAACAATTAAAGTAAAAGTTGACTATTTAAGAAATCAGTATCACACACCCCTAAGTCATCTACTTAATTTGAGCCATTAAAAAAAAGGTATTGTAGTTTCTACATTTGAAACTTTGAAACCAAAGCTCAGTCTTGTTGCTATAACATTCCAAATATCTTCTCATCGTCAGTAAGTTCCACAAAATTAGATACAGCAAATTAAGATTTTAGCTCTATAGGAAGAGTGTGTGGCTCTTAAAAGAGCCGTTGTGGGGCTGGTAGCAGCGGTGAGAGGCAGCAGCTTTACTTGGTCTTAGCAGGCTTCTCGGTCTTCTTGGGCAGCAGCACAGCCTGGATGTTGGGCAGCACACCACCCTGAGCGATGGTGACTCCACCCAGCAGCTTGTTGAGCTCCTCGTCGTTGCGGACGGCCAGCTGCAGGTGACGGGGGATGATACGAGTCTTCTTGTTATCACGAGCAGCGTTTCCAGCCAGCTCCAGGATCTCAGCAGTCAGATACTCCAGCACTGCAGCCAAGTAGACCGGGGCGCCGGCACCGACACGCTGAGCATAGTTGCCTTTACGCAGCAGCCTGTGAACACGACCTACTGGGAACTGGAGCCCGGCACGGGAGGAGCGGGTCTTGGCCTTAGCTCTGGCCTTGCCTCCGGTTTTACCACGACCACTCATTGATATAGTTAGTTTATCGAGGAGAAGTACGAGAAATAATGTCTATCTGAAGCCAAAAACCTCCTTATATGTCCGCACAGCGGAGAGAAAGTGGCGGCAGCCAATAGTGATAGCTGGAGCGGAGGGGGAGAGTCTGAGCGGCTTTTTCAACACAGCGTGTCTCCAATAAGCAGCCAGCATTCAGGCGGGGAGCCGCTGCTCTGGGCGGGGCTGAGCTGCAGGAGGAGACGGTCACCAATCAGGAGCTGAAGCCGTGAAGCAGCGTCACCGTCCCGCTGTTTAAGAGCAGCGACTCTCGGCTGGTTCAACTTATCTTTTTCTCCGCTCCAGAGAAACTATTTACCATGGCTAGAACCAAGCAGACTGCTCGTAAATCCACCGGTGGCAAAGCCCCCAGGAAGCAGCTGGCCACCAAGGCAGCTAGGAAGAGCGCTCCCGCCACCGGAGGCGTTAAGAAGCCTCACCGTTACAGGCCCGGCACCGTGGCTCTCAGAGAGATCCGTCGTTACCAGAAATCCACTGAGCTGCTCATCCGCAAGCTGCCCTTCCAGCGCCTAGTCCGAGAAATCGCTCAGGACTTCAAGACCGACTTGCGCTTCCAGAGCTCGGCTGTCATGGCTCTGCAGGAGGCCAGCGAGGCTTATCTGGTGGGGCTCTTCGAGGACACCAACCTGTGCGCCATCCACGCAAAGAGGGTCACCATCATGCCTAAAGACATCCAGCTGGCCCGCCGCATCCGCGGAGAGCGAGCATAAAGTCCCACGGCTTACCAAGACACAAAGGCTCTTTTAAGAGCCATTAATTGCTTTAATTGGGGTATTATTCTTTTAAGTGTCCGTATAAAATACACTTAATACATTCATACACAATGGTACAGAAAGTTATTAGCCTGCAGAAAGTTTTAATACATGGCTTAAAAAAGTGTTATTGAAAAGTCCTTTGCACTGTAAAATGACTATCGGTTGATCAGAGCATGCAAGTTTAAATGTCCTCAGTTATCTTATGTCTGAGTATCAAAATGTTGCAAGAGTGTGTCTTGAGAAAAGTGTATTGTTATAAATGCAAAGTTAAATACATTAGTTTGGGCTGGAAAGTTTGGATAAATGTTTGTAGAGTACATTTTTAACAAAAATAATTAAACTATGTAAAATAATTTACTAATGTGAAAAAAGCAATATATCAAATATTTATCATTTCTAAGGATTTAATAACTTTAAGAAATCTCCACTTTGCGACAGCTGGTGCTCATTTTCTCACCATCTTCGTCGCACTCTCCTCCCTCTCGCTCGCCTTTTTCCTCCTCATTCCTTCTCGTCTCCCTCCTCCCACATGTGCTCTGCTGTGTGTCTGAGTATGATCTCTTCCCTGCCCCTACTGCTCTGTGTGTGAACAGTCAGGACACACAGGCCTAGTCCACACGTAGCCGGGTTTTTTGAAAACGAATATCCGCCCCTCCAAAAACTTGCATCCACACCACCACGTTTTAAAACAAACTCTGTCCACACGTACCCGGATAAATACGTTGTTAAGGACATGCCAGACCTGTAGGCGGCAGTACTTCCCCTGTTCTTAACCTCGTCCTTCGTCTGTGGTCTTCCGCAAGGAGCAGTAATTCCGCTTGCAAAAACAAGCAGAAAGCGCTTGGACAATTGATGGATCGGGTAGTGACAGAGCGCAGCTCTGAGGGCTTCCATGATGCCGGCTAGTGTAAACACAGGTCGCACACATGATGTCAGCAATTTTTGTCGTGGAAAGTGACGTTGCGGACCTTAAAACTCCGGTTTTGTCCGTCCACACGCAGACACCCAAAACGGAGAAAACGCAGATCTTCGCTTTGGCCGGAGTTTTTAAAAACATCAGTTTTTGTGTGATAAAACTCCGTTTTCGTGTGGATGACAGGTCAAAACGTAGAAAAATATCTACGTTTTGGCAGATCCCCAGCTACGTGTGGACAGGGCCACAGTTACACATGTTGACCAATCGCCTGTAGCTTTCACCAAAGCAAGAGGGGAGGGGACGGCTCCCAATGACGAGCCGGCTCCCGTCGTTCACTTCAAAGAGCCGGCTCTTAGAGCCGATTCGTTCGCGACTGACACATCACTACTCTGAAGTGTTACCACCTGATTTGAATAATCTAATAATTGAGGGGCTGCTCTTCATTAGACATTAAGCCTATTAAACTATTTCACTCATCTGGATAAATAAAGGTTAAATAAAATATTTTTGTATTGCTATTTTTTTGTGCACTATTAAGTTTAATTGACAGAGGAACTGCTTTGCCACACAGATTCCAAAAATCAATGTAACATTTATTACCAAACAATGGTTTCACTCAAATTGAATTATTTCACTGCACAATATGCACCAGCTGATGTCCAGGGAGATCCAGACAGCTGTCTGCCTCCTACTGCTCAGTGAGCTGGCCACGCACGCTGTGTCTGAGGGCATCAAGTAAACCCACCTGCCCACAATTGCAAACCCAAAGGCTCTTTTCAGGGCCACCATCTTTTAATGAGACATTTTTGTGCCTTAGGGTAGGACGGGGGAATGTGTAGTTGTTAGCACTTTTGCCTTGCAATAAGGACGTCCTGGGTTCACATCCCTGCCTGGAGTCTCTCTGCAAGGAGTTTGCATGTGCACGTGTGGGTTCTCTCCGGGTACGCCGACTTCCTCCCACAGTCCAAAAACATGACTGTCAGGTTGATTTCTCTAAATTGTTCTTAAGTGTGAGTGTGTGTGGTTGATTTGTTTGTCTTGTGTGTCTGTGTTGCCCTACGATGGACTGGCAACCAGTCCAGGGTGTACCCCACCTGGTGCATACCCACCAGGTACAGACCACTCCTCAGACCACAATGGCAGAATCTCTTAACGGGTCAACACCACATCGTCCCTCCTCCCACAACCCAAGTCTACTCTCCTACTGCACACTGCTCGCTGCAGGTCATGAAAGGCTCTACCGTGTATCATGTCCGCCCCCTTTAAAGAGCAGAAACTTCCTATGAATTCACAATAGAGACTAATGACCTCACTGACTTATCAGGAGGTAGGGAGGAAAGGTTTTCATTGGCACTTAACAGGGTAAAGCCATGTTTAATTTTCTTAATACAACTTGTATAATCTGCAGTTAATGGATGTCAGAGTGCTTCCCAGTCTGCATCACTCTGCGATGTTTGTTCCAACATGTGTGTAACGTCTTAATGGCTTACTGTACATTGTATCTGTTGAACAGTACAATGGATTCAGGATGTTATTTAATTACCATATAGCTGACGTTTTAAATTAACCCATGGTTTTTGTATGTAATACAGACATATCACTTTAAAAGTTAAGGGCTTCACTTGATCACATGTACGGTTTAATGTTTTAACTTTTCTTCAGAATGAATTTGTTATAATTAGGAAATGTAATATGATCTATTAATTTTTTCCCATAGTGTTTTAATATTAAATACTATCGAGTAATAATTCTTTGTGCTCAAGTTTAATATCTTCTAGTTTGTTTCTTGTAACAGAGGGTAATAAATGTGTAAATTATCAATAAATTGAGCTGAACATTTTATGTAAGCAATAGCTATCAGCATGTCCACAAAAACCAATATGGTGTTTTAAGTAGTTATGGCAGACAAGTTGTTGACATTGGATTAAATATATAAAATATGGGTTTAATCAGAATTAAATCATTTATATTTACGCTATGATCTGATTAATAAGTAGAAATACATTAAAATGTTTCTTTTCAAGTAAAATAAGCTCTTTGGATGATGTGGTGGCTCTTAAAAGAGCCTTTGTGTAGCTGTGATATTTAGTGAGAAGTTCACTTCTTCTTGGGAGCTGCCTTCTTGGCTTTGGGTTTGGCTGCCTTCTTAGCTGGAGCCTTCTTGGCTGCGGGGGCCTTTTTCACCACCTTCTTGGGGCTCTTGGTGGCCTTCTTGGGGCTTTTGGCTGGCTTCTTAGCCACTGCAGGCTTCTTAACCTTCTTGGGGGACTTCTTAGCAGCAGCAGGCTTTTTGGCGGCTGTAGCCTTCTTCGGCTTCTTGGCCGCTGCAGGTTTCTTGGCTGCGGGCTTCTTGGCTTTGGGAGCAACTGCTTTCTTTGCAGGCTTCTTGGCTGTAGTCTCCACCTTTTTGCTCATCTTAAACGATCCGGAGGCACCGATTCCCTTAGTCTGGACCAGGGTGCCTTTAGCAACCAGGCTCTTGATAGCAGTCTTGACGCGGGCTTTGTTTTTGTCCACATCGTATCCTCCAGCAGCCAGAGCCTTCTTGAGGGCAGCAGCAGACACACCGCTGCGTTCTTTAGAAGCTGCCACAGTTTTCACAATCAGCTCACCGACGCTGGGGCCAGCCTTCTTGGGCTTGGTGCTCTTCTTCTTGGCTGCTTTGGCCGGAGTGGCAGCAGGGGCTGGAGCAACTTCTGCCATTTTCTTCTTTCCTTTCCTTGTGTTCGTGTGGATAATCAAACAAGAGTCTCCTCCAATCTAGTGGAGCTCTGAGCTACAGGCTGTACTTAAACACACCATGAGAACCGTGGAGACTCAACTCTTGTTGCAGCTCGTCTTGACAACATGGAAGACTTTTCTGTGTTTTCTCAGCAGTATAAAAATGGATAAATAAGAGTGTGTGAACAGCGCAGCAAACCGACAGAGTACAAGTCCACAGTGGATGTGTCTCTCTTCATGTTAAATTCATGTGGAGCTCTGATGCTTTCTGCAGTTTGTTCTTGCAGCTTCAAAACTCCATCGATTCACCTGCAAACTTGATGCTGATCTGCAACTTTTCCACCTCTTATTTATTCTACAATGATTTCATATGTGCCGTAATCTGCCAGAAAGCTCGTTTACATGCTATTTTAGAGACTCACATATAAAATTTTCACCTATTGAATGTAACTTTACCAGAAAAATAAGGTTTTGTTGCAGCATCAAACACACTTGCTCAAAACTGTCTGCTGTCAATGATTTCTCTGCTCAAACTCTTTAGTAAATGCTAAATAAACTCAAATTCATTCTTGAATTCACTGCAACTTCTTTTCTTTCACAGATAATGGTAATTTAGTAAAAACACTGGCAGGAAAATGACTGACAGGTGTTGCAGCAAACTGAAGCATTGACTAAATTAGATCAAGAGATGAATGTGCCCTCTCAGTTTCTAACAATTACAAAAACAATATTATCGTTTTAATGAGAAATACATTATGTTCAAAATATATTAAAACTGTATGTTTAAAAACAATCTAATAAAAAATTCAAAGAACTTTACAACAAATTTAATAATAATTAATAATAAAATATTAAGTTATGTTAACTAAATATTCAATTAACTTTGAAAAAAATTAAAGTATGCTAAGCTTTACTTTGATCTTAATTTTGTTTATTCCAATGTTTTCTGCTGTTTGACTGTGTAAAATAACTTTATTTATCTACATAACATCAATAATAACTACTATGATAATGCTGACTTTTAGCATTAAACATTTTAGTTGCACTAATCTAAGACATTGTTGATAATAAATGGTATTTAGTAATTTAATTAGTTTTTGTTCTCAGATTATGGTTCGGATTAAACAAATCCCTCCCCCTTGTACACCATCTGATTTATTCAACCATTCAAACAACCTTATTTCAGTTCAGTTCAGAATTTATTTCAGCTAGTATCCCACACCAAACAGTTTCTGTATGAAATCACCTAAAAGAGTTCATGTCAAGAAATGCAGCTGCACTATTTTTTATTTTTTCAAAATAAACATTTAATTGAGTTATTTGGCTTTTTAAGAATGACTGATTATAACTGAAACAAATCCCACCCCCTACGCACCCACTGATGTATTCAACCAATCATAGACCGGAGATGGAGCAGTGAAATTAGCTTCTAGCTCACATAAAGTACTCTCCCGTAGCCTTAGCAGTTACAATTGTCTGACTATTCGGTAATAAGATGCCTGAGCCTGCCAAGTCTGCCCCCAAGAAGGGCTCCAAGAAAGCGGTGACTAAAACCGCTGGAAAGGGAGGAAAGAAAAGAAAGAGGACCAGGAAGGAGAGCTACGCCATCTACGTTTACAAGGTGCTGAAGCAGGTCCACCCCGACACCGGGATCTCCTCCAAGGCCATGAGCATCATGAACTCGTTCGTGAACGACATCTTTGAGCGCATCGCTTCTGAGGCTTCTCGTTTGGCCCACTACAACAAGCGCTCCACCATCACCTCCAGGGAGATCCAGACCGCTGTCCGCCTCCTTCTGCCCGGTGAGCTGGCCAAGCACGCTGTGTCTGAGGGTACCAAAGCTGTCACCAAGTACACCAGCTCTAAGTAAACTCCTTATTCAAAAACCCCAAAGGCTCTTTTAAGAGCCACCCACAGTTTCTACTGAGAAAGAATCCTGATACCAGAATTTGATAACTATCTACTTTATCGTTAACCTTTTAGAGGTTAAATCGTTTACAGATAATTTGAAGCATCTTTGGTGACGATGAGCAACTCATTATAAAAGGCTGTGATGGCTTCTTACAAGTGGTTCATTAAATATGAACAATTTACAAGGTATTAAATGATTTTTGAAAGTCTTGATTTACACTTGATAGATGCACCAGTGACAAACTTTTTAAATGATTGTAATGTCATTATTTGCCCAGCCTCTTCTTGCTGGTCTTTTTGAGCACGCTTGTCCTCTACATCAAAACTTTTGATATAATTATTGGAATATTTTAAGTTTCAGCTCTTTTGTTACAATAAAAATGAACAATAAGAGTTTAATTATGTAGATTTTTAAATTTCATCAATAATGAAAAAAATTCACGTTCCTAATCAATTTACAGATGTATTAATTGTGCGTTCTAGTTGTCCTTGGAACTCGGAATTTCCGAGCAGGAAATGACGTAAGGTGCCTGTTTTACGTTCCAGCTTCCAACTCGAAATGAGCAAAATATAAACTTCCTGGCAGCGTCTTCCAGAGTTGGCTAAATGTCAGTTCTAGGCCTATCTTAATGTAAAATATATTGAGCTACGCAAAATGATGCATGAAATCATTTAAGAACACTATTTTCACTGTTTGTGTCAAATCTAATTAATTTGCATAAATGCGCAGTTATACTTGACATTTGGCACCTGTTCAACTTAATGTGTTGCAGTAGAAAATCTAAACAGCTTTGAACCGTGTATGCTCTAGTGTTTAATTCTTAATTTGATCAGTTTTCAAATTGAAAATGTTTAGGCAGTTCCTCCTCCGTCACCAACAGTGGTTATTTTATCAATGGAAAATTAGGATGCACTCAGAAATCGAGAGTTGGGTGGCCCTGAAAAGGGCCTTTGGTGTTTATATTTCTTATAAAGTTTTAACCTCCGAATCCGTACAGGGTACGTCCCTGCCTCTTCAGAGCATAAACCACATCCATGGCGGTCACGGTCTTCCTCTTGGCATGCTCGGTGTAGGTGACTGCGTCACGGATAACGTTCTCCAGGAACACCTTGAGCACTCCGCGAGTCTCCTCGTAGATCAGACCGGAGATACGCTTGACTCCACCACGGCGAGCCAGACGGCGGATAGCGGGCTTGGTAATACCCTGGATGTTATCACGGAGAACCTTTCGGTGACGCTTTGCGCCTCCTTTTCCGAGTCCTTTACCTCCCTTGCCTCTTCCAGACATTTTGATTATAGATCAATTCAGTTGGAATGGTGGTGGGACTGAGGCACAAGGTGTTTTATTTCACACTAAAGGACGTGTTAGAGAACAAGACAAGCTGCAGATTTCTACTGGGGCGCCATCAAGTGGTCTAACTGGGATTCGTGTACAAAATCTTAATGGTGTAACTCACCATGCCTCACTGTTTCCTTCTGAGAAATTTTAAAAATAATAAAGTTCACATCCCTGCAAACACAGTCCGGGTCTGGGATGCTCTATCACAAATTCAGTCTCACCTCTGCTGTTCTCCTGAACCAAAGTACTTGTTGTCAAGGCTTCCTCTGGCATGATAAAAGTGAAAGGGTATGCAAAAACAAAAGTAGCTCGGAGTAAGATTGTACCTATAGGGTTGAAAATGAAGTTTAAATTCTAGGTTTGCCTACATTTCTTCAGTCTCTTTATAGTATTGTAGTATTTGATTCTCCATCCCCAATTTATCTGGGTAATGTTTAATGTTTTTGATTTGATTATGTATTTTTAAGCAGCACTTTTGATCAGTGCCCATTGTTTTTCCAAAACCTCTATAAATAAACCAGGCCCCCATAATTCTGGAATGAAACTGAAGCAAACACAGAAGTGGCAAAAATTGCAGTTCAACCCTCATCCACTATGCTAAGGGCTGACACCAGAAATGAGCAAATCCTCATTGATTCGTGTTCAAAATGCCAATTTCACAGCAGAAAATAACAGTTTTACAGCCTGGTTCAAAAGCCAATTTACGGTTTAATACATCTAGTTTACATTCATGAGAGGGGGTGAATTGTTTTTTTACCTCATCTGTTTAAGTGTAATGAAATGCTTAAAATTCTCATTTTAGCTACTATTTACTGGCGTCACCATCGCTCAGGGTGGTGTGCTGCCCAACATCCAGGCTGTGCTGCTGCCCAAGAAGACTGAGAAGCCTGCTAAGAAGTAAAGCTGCTGCTTCTCCCTTCTGCTACCAGCCCCACAACAGCTCTTTTAAGAGCCACATACTCCGCCTAAAGAGCTAAAATCAAATACAAAAATATCTTTTTTCCTTAGATTGGGAGAAAATGTTTTATTGTACATTCTAGTTGGAGGTTAATCATTGTTCATTATACAACCATCGATTGTAAACAACAGCACGGCCCTGACATAAAAAATAATTTTGTATTAATTTTTTTGGAGATGGAGAAAAAAAGTTCACTTTCCACACATAAGACGTAACACATTTTTTCCCCAAATAAATCAATAAACCGCAAATATTTAAACCATAATGCAAACACAGCTCAGAAAATTTTTTGTCATGCAAATGCATTGCAATACATAAAATAATAAATAATACGTAATGAATGAACTCTTGACACAGTGGGTGTGCTTAAGTAACAACCAGTGAGAAGCCATACATCCTGGAGGTAAGAACTGGTATACAATGAGAACAAACTGACAGAGGGTGGATGCAGGCTGTACAATGATCTGAGGAAACACGAATCTCATCCTGAAACATTTTACAAATCGCACAGAATCCTGTTAGCACAAGGAGCTCTACCTGTGAACGAGGATTCTTCAGTGGCTTCCACACCTTCAAGAACATGGAACGGAGTAAACTCAGTAAGAACACAATTTTGCATCTTAAACCAACATGTTCATTTATTGTTTGTGTGGTTAACTTGTGTTTTCTTTTGAAACAATCTTTCAATTTCTTTCATGATTCATGTGAAGTATGCTGACTTTTCTGATTAGGAGAATACATTTTGTTCTTTGTTTCCTATGTTTTTACAACAAACAGACAGTTTCAAACAGCAGTGCACGGATAGCAACTGCCGAAGCACGTTGTCTCTGCTGGTTAAACTTGCCTAACTGGTTTGTTTAGAATGGATGTAGGCTCATTGTCCATAAGATGAGGCAACCATTTAAACTCATTAATGAAACTAGAAAAATGCAAGTTGACTCAAATAGTACTGTTGTTTGCAATTTTGCAAAATACTCTCATCTATCTATCCATCCATCCATCCATCCATCCATCCATCCATCCATCCATCCATCCATCCATCCATCCATCTATCTATCTATCTATCTATCTATCTATCTATCTATCTATCTATCTATCTATCTATCTATCTATCTATCTATCTATCTATCTATCTATCTATCTATCTACAGTATCTATCTGTGGTCAGAGGTTTACATACACTTGTAAAAAATATAATATAATGGCTCTACTGAGTGTCCCGTTATTTCTATCTAAAACTCTGATTTTTCTCTGATAGAGTGATTGGAACAGATATTTCTTTGTCACAAAAAACATTCATGAAGTTTGGTTCTTTAATGTCTTTATTATGGGTTAACAGAGAAAAGTGATCACATTTGCTGGGTCACAAATATACATACAGCAGTGCTAATATTTGGTTACATGTCCCTTAGCCATTTTCACTTCAATTAGGCGCTTTTGGTAGCCATCCACAAGCTTCTGGCAAGCTTCTGGTTGAATCTTTGACCACTCCTCTTGACAGAATTGGTGAAGTTCAGTTAAATTTGATGGCTTTCTGACATGGACTTGTTTCTTCAGCACTGTCCACATGTTTTCAATGGGGTTTAAGTCAGGCTTTTGGGGAGGCCATTCTAAAACCCTTATTCTAGCCTGATTTAGCCATTCCTTTACTACTTTTGATATGTGTTTGGGGTCATTGTCCTGTTGGAACACCCAACTGCGCCCAAGACCCAACCTTCGTGCTGATGATTTTAGGTTATGTTGAAGAATGTGAAGGTAATCCTCCTTCTTCATTATCCCATTTACTCTCTGTAAAGCACCAGTTCCATTGGCAGCAAAACAGCCCCACAGCATAATATTCCCACCACCATGCTTGACTGTAGGCATGGTGTTCTTGGGGTTAAAGGCCTCACCTTTTCTCCTCCAAACATATTGCTGGGCATTGTGGCCAAAAAGCTCGATTTTTGTTTCGTCTGACCACAGAACTTTCCTCCAGAAGGTCTTATCTTTGTCCATGTGATCAGCAGCAAACTTCAGTCGAGCCTTAAGGTGCAGCTTTTGGAGCAAGGGCTTCCTTCTTGCATGGCAGCCTCTCAGTCCATGGAGATGCAAAACACGTTTGACTGTGGACAATGACACCTGTGTTCCAGCAGCTTCTAATTCTTGGCAGATCTGCTTTTTGGTGATTCTTGGTTCACTCTTTACCCTCCTGACCAATTTTCTCTCAGCAGCAGGTGATAGCTTGCGTTTTCTTCCTGATCTTGGCAGTGATGAAACAGTGCCATGCACCTTATACTTACAAACAATTGTTTGCACTGTTGCTCTTGGGACCTGCAGCTGCTTTGAAATGGCCCCAAGTGACTTTCCTGACTTGTTCAAGTCAATAATTCGCTTTTTCAGATCCATGCTGAGCTCCTTTGACTTTCCCATTGTAGCGTTTGTGGGCGTTTGTATCCAATGAGCCCTATTTACCTGGCCTAAGAGAAGTCACCAGCTGTAGTCACTCATAATCACTCACAAGAAGTTACGAGGCCATGCTATGAAGCTCAGTTCACTGACACGTTTCTACGTCACCAAAATTGCTAGATCATGTTGCTGTATGTATATTTGTGACCCAGCAAATGTGATCACTTTTCTCTGTTAACCCATAATAAAGACATTAAAGAACCAAACTTCATTAATGTTTTGTGACAAAGAAGTATCTGTTCCAATCACTCTATCAGAGAAAAATCTGAGTTTTAGAAATAACGGGACACTCAGTAGAGCCATTAGATTATATTTTTTACAAGTGTATGTAAACCTCTGACCACAACTGTATCTATATACACTGGTGTGAAAAACTATTTGCCCGTTTCCTGATTTCTTATTCTTTTGCATGATTGTCACACAAAATGTTTCTGATCATCAAACACATTTAACCATTAGTCAAAGATAACACAAATAAACACAAAATGCAGTTTTGAAATGATGGTTTTTATTATTTAGGGAGAGGACAAAATCCAAACCTACATTGCCCTGTGTGAAAAAGTAATTGCCCCCCCTTGTTAAAAAAAACAACCCAACTGGTGTTTCACACCTGAGTTCAATTTCTGTAGCCACCCCCAAGCATGATTACTTCCACACCTGTTTCAATCAAGAAATCACTTAAATATGAGCTGCCTGACACAGAGAAGTAGACCAAAAGCACCTCAAAAGCTAGACATCATGCCAAGATCCAAAGAAATTCAAGAACACATGAGAACAAAAATATTTGAGATCTATCAGTCTGGTAAAGGTTATAAAGCCATTTCTAAAGCTTTGGGACTCCAGCAAACCACAGTGAGAGCCATTATCCACAAATGGCAACAACATGGAACAGTGTTGAACCTTCCCAGGAGTGGGCGGCTGACCAAAATTACCCCAAGAGCGCAGAGGCAACTCATCCGAGAGGTCACAAAAGACCCCAGGACAACTTCTAAAGAACTGCAGAACCTCACTTGCCTCAATTAAGGTCAGTGTTCACGACTCCACCATGAGAAAGAGCTAGGCAAAAATGGCCTGCATGGCAGATTTCCAAGACACAAACCACTGTTAAGCAAAAAGAACATTATGGCTCGTCTCAATTTTGCTAAGAAACATCTCAATGATTGCCTAGACCTTTGGGAAAATACCTTGTGGACTGATGAGACAAAAGTTGAACTTTTTGGAAGAAAAATGTCCCGTTACATCTGGTATAGAAGAAGACGAAGAAAATATCATTTCTATAGCGCCTCTCAAGATAAAAATCACGAGGCGCTTATAGAAGTAACACAGCATTTCAGACAAAGAACATCTACCAACAGTAAAATATGGTGGTGGTAGTGTGATGGTCTGGGGTTGTTTTGCTGCTTCAGGAACTGGAAGGCTTGCTGTGATAAATGGAACCATGGATTCTACTGTCTACCAAAACATCCTGAAGGAGAATGTCCGGCCATCTGTTCGTCAACTAAAGCTGAAGCGATCTTGGGTGCTGCAGCAGGACAATGACCCAAAACACACCAGCAAATCCACCTCTGAATGGCTGAAGAACAACAAAATGAAGACTTTGGAGTGGCCTAGTCAAAGTCCTGACCTGAATCCTATTGAGATGCTATGGCATGACCTTAAAAAGGCGGTTCATGCTGGAAAACCCTCAAATAATGCTGAATTACAACTATTCTGCAAAGATGAGTGGGCCAACATTCCTCCAGAGCGCTGTAAAAGACTCGTAGCAAGTTATCGCAAACGCTTGATTGCAGTTATTGCTGCTTAGGGAGGCCCAACCAGTTATTAGGTTCAGGGGGCAATTACTTTTTCACACAGGGCAATGTAGGTTTGGATGTAGTTCTCTCCCTAAATAACAAAAAACATCATTTCAAAACTGCATTTTGTGTTTACTTGTGTTATCTTTGACTAATGGTTAAATGTGTTTGTCTCATTTTGTGTGACATACATGCAAAAGAATAAGAAATCAGGAAGGGGCAAATAGCTAAATAGGTGTGAAACTATCTAGCTATACACACACACACACACACACACACACACACACATACATACATACATACATACATACATACACACATATATATATATATATATATATATATATATATATATATATATATATATATATATATATATATATATATATAGTATATGTTCAATTTACATCTTCTGAGTTATTGTTCTGTCTTTTTCAGGAAGCAAAAGCAAGCTAAAGGAAGCTGCTGTGAGATTTTTCCTGGGAACAGTGGGAGGCTGCATTCTGGGGGCCACAGAGGACCCAGTGGACAGTATCCTGTCTGTGATGACCGAAAGTGGTCTAATACAACCAGTGATGGAAGAAATCAGAGCAATGGGTGCCATCGGGTTGGGATCCCTCATGGGAGCAACAGCGTTGACAACAGCGATGACATCGGTCATAGCTGGTGTGATTTCGGCTGCTGTTGCAGCTTCAGTATTTGTGTCCATGAGGAGTTGCCGTGTCTCTTACAAGAAATCAGTTGGCTTGTGGGCATCAGCGGGACTTGCTGGTGCACTTGGGACCACACTCAGCGGAGTCACATTTGGTACCACAATCGAATGGATTGTAAAATCATACGGCATGTTGGGACTAATGTGGATTTTGGCCCTTTTCACTGTGCTAAAACCACCTCTGCATTTTCTATTTCAAGTCATCTGGAGAGAGAGACAGATCTGTTGCAGTCTGGGATCTGACATCAGGTCCAGAGAGAGGGAAGACATTGAGGGTACAGAGTGGCAGCTGAGACAGAGAGTGACTGTGCAGATAGAGCAGAGAATCGTGTCTATAGAGAAGGGAGGTAGTACAAATGTAGCAGATGACCAGACAAGATGGGTCGCTGAGCAGAAAGAAAGAGAGGAGATTGAGAGGAAAAAGATGGATAATGAAGAGGCTGAACTAGAGCAAAGAACAATTCAAGATTGGATTAATGTTGTAGTCGTCAAATATGTAGATTTCTTGGCGTTTTCAGGGATACCAATGGCAGTGGTTGCCATTGTCACATCAATATTTGGCCTCTTTGGTTTAGGAACCCACCAGTCAGTGGTAATAGTTCTTCTGGTTTCAGTTTCAGGAATAACCTACTTTCTTTTAAAGTCTTCAGACTTTAAATTCTGGATGATGGTGGGGTGCATGGGAATGTTTGCCACCTTCATCATAGCCATGCTGACCCAACATGCAAGGCAGGAAGTTTTAACAGCTGCTGTCAAAATGGGAACGGGAGGGCATGTTCAATCCAGGGACTTAGTCAGCACTGAAATGGACCTCCGATCTTCTTTGGAAGCTGTGAGCACAGCCTTCTTTGCAGCAAAGCTTTGCCAACTGGGTTTGGGAGCTACAGTGGGAGGGGTGCTAGTGAGGAGAGCAGATGGTGGGGTAAAAGTTATTATAGGGGCTGCTTCAGTGGCAGGAGGTTTACTGGCTGGGATGCAGGCTTTAGCCGTGGTTCTGTCTGATGTTGGGGCTGGCGCCTTGTTAGCTGTGGTTGGAGCAGCAGGGGTGTCTGTTGGTGCAACAGCAGTCTCAGCTTCAAGGTCCTCATGGCCAGGAGCCGTGGGAACAATGGGAGGTTTGATTATCGGAGCATTAGGGATGGGAAAATGGCACGTGGTTAATATCGGACTTCAGCTTCCTGCTGCCTTGGTGTTTGCAATGAATAATCCATTTTAAATAATGAGGATTTTTTTAACATAATGTACTGATGGGTTTCCTTATAATGCTGGTTGTTCCTGATCAAATATTTGTCCTTAAAATGTAAATTAAAAACTATATAAGTACCATGAACCAGTGTTTTACCATGTTGTATACTGAGATGTGTTTCTGTGTAACCAGAAATATTTACTGCAGCTGGTTTTGAAAACGTTGCACCAAATGCCAGATTGACAGGTATTTTATTCCCATTTTGTTCTGTTTTTAGTGTTCTTGTAAACTAGTATCTGGACATAACTGAAATAAAGAGATAGTTATAATGTAATTTAAATGAACATTTTGTTTGATCTGAAGGATTACAGTGAAAATGCCTCACATTTTCCTATCAGCTTAATCACAAATAAAGAAAAAAAACTGATTTTGATCTGATGAATCAGCATACAAAACAGCATACAAACTGGGACTTTTTAAAAAGTGGATTTCTTTATATTTTCAAAAAATTTTTTCATTATTTACAGCACAAATTATAAACAGCAAATTTACATTCTAAGTTAAAATGTGCAACAGGAAGCATCATTTATTTTGGCAGCAGTACAATTCCTGTGTCACACCTGCTGGCCAGCTTCTCTCAAAAATTTCAAACATGTACAAACAGCTTTACATTACAATATTTTCTGTGCTAATAACTGAAAAATTGAATTAAACGTTTTTTTTAAATACATGTAACCATATATGGTGAACTGGTGTTACAAAATGAAGCACAGATCTTTTTCACACAACCAGTGGCGGAGAGTCTGACAGGAGACATCGTTCCAGTTGGCCAAAGCTGGACTTTGGTGATACATTTCCACACAGTCCTCAGTGTTGTTTCCACCACCTAAATCAGGCTGCCCATCCTGCCAAAACCTAAAAGAAAGGCAAACAGTAAGAAATCAGCCGACCAACAATTGTTTTCTTAACATTTGCGCTGAATTATATACTCTACATGCAAAGTTATAATCCCAAATATGAGATTAATGCTATATCTGTTTATTTATTTGTAAAGTGCAATTTATCCAAGGGGTTTATAATTGAATTACTTGCAATTTTTTAGAACTGCACAAGTGAGTTTGCATAAACACGTCCTATTGTGACAAAAATTTATTTAAAACATCTTACACGTCTTTCAGTTCAGAACCGTCAACCCATTTTAAGGTCCGATCTGTGTTGCGTAAACCAATCCAAAACAAGAGATACTGATTCCCATTCATACGGTATAAGGCATTCTGAAAAGAATAAATATGGGAATATATATTATCCATCCACATATATATATATATATATATATATATATATATATATATATATATATATATATATATATATATATATATATATATATATATATATATATATATATATAATCAACAAATACTCCAGCAATATAGAAATGGAACACTAGCACATTTACATGGTCAGCTTCGTTTGAGCTGGGTAGGGGGATTGTGTTTTAATTTGTGCTATTAATCGTGCATTTTTCGTGCAGAGCTGACCTTTTTTTTATTTCAGCCCTGCTCTCTGGCAGTCAGGCTAGTGTTGAGCTAACCTACTCCCACTGTACATTGATTGGTCGCTTGAAGTTCATGCCTACCTACTAGTGAGAGCCTCTGGCTGGTGGGTAGAATCAGCCAGCAGCAGCTGCATGATTCATTAGCAATCTGGATGCAGCATTCAGACATTTATTCTGTTTGCCTAACAGCTAGACAGGACATGGGAAAAATAAATAAATAAATAGCAATCTGGATGTAATGGGGTAAACATCTTATCTAACAACAGCTCAGAGCAGAGCAGCCCCGGACTGGGGCTATCACCAGCTCCACTTCACTCCACTCCACCTACCCTAGCCTGGCCGCATTCGTTCCACACCATAGAAATACAGACATGATTGAGTCCATGGGTTGTCTCCAAAATTGGCACAAAAATAAGTATCAGTGATGTCATGAGCTCATCTCTGAGCACATGGGAGGGGCAAGAGAGCATGGGTAAATCCGTGGTGTCTCCATTATTAAACAAAAGCCGCTTTAGCAATCTTGTGTTGAAGTCTCTCTGACTCTGATTTGCTGAGTCTGGCAGCACTGTGTGTGTGTGTGTGTGTGTGTGTGTGTGTGTGTGTGTGTGCATGCGTGCGTGCGTGCGTGTGTGTGTGTGTGTGTGCATGCGTGCGTGCGTGCGTGTGTGTGTGTGTGTGTGCGCTCCTCGCAGCAGTAAGAGACAGAGAAAAATAGCTTCAGTCAGAGGCTCATTAACTCCACAGCATCCAGAATGATAATGACTCACGCATGCAGGAAGCTCCCGTGAGCTGATTCTACCTGCCAATCGGAGGGTCCCCCTAATGGTTGGCGTGATTTTAAGCCGGCCAATCAGTCAGCAGTGGGTGTGTGGGACCAGCTTGGTTGCACGTGAGAAAATCCAAGGTTACCCAAATGAGAACACTACCAACCCGGTCCAGGCAAAGTAGAACCAATAGTGTGTACGTGCCAAAACTGCCCCCACCCGGCCCAGGCTAGGCTCACCTATATGTAAATAGGCCTTCAGAAAAAAAAATAACCTGTTCCTTTTCATCATTGATAACCACCAAGTCAGCGCCTTTACTCTGACACTGTTGTCGACTTTCTTCCCATTTTTTCTCTTCTGTGGAGAGGAAATAACACCTGGAGTTGATCTCTGTCCATCCTAGGGGACACCGTTGAGAAGGAACACAGCCGTTCATCTCTGAAGAATGATATAAATATTGACTTAATAAACACAGACACATTTACAGTTGAAGCTTTAAGCAAAGTCCCAAATAGATGACGTGTTTAACTATAACAAGGACTGTTTTTCATTCAACAAAAATGAATAATACAAAGAAATTGCTTTTAAAGGGAGACAAATTGTGGAAAAAGAGTGAAAACTCAAGTTACATGAATGTTCTGAATAATATTAAAAGATTTAATGTTTAATGTAGACAAAAGATTATTTTCTTGAATAAAAAATTGAAAAAAAAAAAGATTAAAATCTTCAGCTTGTTGCAATTTAACTTTCGCGTTCATATAATTGCCCCACGCAGAAACAATAAAATCACTCCAGTAAGAAGGTGAAAAATAAATAATCAGGGTGTCAGGAAATTTAGGTACACAGATAAGTCACCACAATCTTGGTCACTGGGCTGCCACCTTATCGTGGTGGAGGGGTTTGAGTGTCCCAATGATCATAGGAGCTAAGTTGTCTGAGGCTTTATGCCTCTGGTAAGGTCATGGCAAACCGGTCTTAGGTGAGGGATCAGACAAAGAGCAGCCCAAAGACCCCTTGGGAAGAAAAACATAAATGGAAACCGTCTTCCCTCGCCTGGACGAGGGTCACCGGGGTCCCCCTCTGGAGCCAGGCCTGGAGGTGGTGCACGTTGGCAAGCGCCTGGTGGCCGGGCTTTCACCCATAAAATGTAGTGAAAATGATTTGACTACATTTTTATTAAAATGACCAATAAGATGTGATATTCCATATAAATATGAAATATTGATCTGATTGATCGTTGAATGTTTAATCAGAATATTCTAGTTACTTTTACTTGTTCAGGGACCATAAACACAGTTCGTATTAATTCAGACAAAGTCAAGTATAGTTTATAAAATGAATTTAATTATTTTTCCTAAACTAATGATTATACATGATGAGGTATGAATAATGATATGTAATGTAATGGTATGAAGTGTTTTAATGTGATGGGTGGATTGTTGTAATGAAAGCTAGATGTTTTAGCCAGTGGCGGTTTTGCCATTAGGCATCGGTCGGCGGCCGCCTGGGGCCCCCTTGTGTTGGGGGGCCCCCAGCCCTGAACGCCAGCACCCCTCTGTTAATGCCACAATATTCTTATTACCAACCTGTCGCCGCCGACGGGATTGGACATCCGCACCTCTCATTACCATAATTCCTGAATTGTTCAAGATATCTGTAAAATTCCAAAAGAGCTGAAAAGGTTAAAAATGGGGCTTTTCGTGCATATACAATACATTACAGTAGCCACCGGGATTCCCTGTCTTGAGCGCAACAAATCACAACACAGATTCAGAGATGTGCTGTTTGTCATCCAAAATGCTCCGTTTTATAACTTTTGAAAGGCTGATCAGATTCAAAAAATGCCAACGGTTCCTAAAAGTATATAAAAGCAGCTTTCCAACGATCTATGGCATGAAGCAATCAAAGTTATGGAAATCCTGCTGTACAGCCTGATTGAAACGGAGCACAGCGGAGCGCAGCGCCGTGGTAAAAGCGGATAACGGAACAGGGAAGCTAATTAGCATGAAAAGCCAGCATGAAATTATGGAAATGCCTCAAAGAAAATCAACACGATCTATTAGGTGTCCCAGAAGGCTTACAGTATACAGGTGCTGGCCAGTAAATTAGAATATCATCAAAAGGTTGAAAATATTTCAGTAATTCCATTCAAAACGTGAAACTTGTACATTATATTCATGCAATGCACACAGACCAATGTATTTCCAATGTTCATTACATTTAAATTTGATATTCATAAGTGACAACTAATGAAAACTCCAAATTTGGTATCTCAAAAAATTAGAATATTCTGAAAAGGCTGAATATAGAAGACACCTGCTGCCACTCTAATCAGCTGATTTACTCAAAACACCTGCAAAGGCCTTTAAAAGGTCCCTCAGTCTTGTTTTGAAGGCACCACAATCATGGGGAAGACTTCTGACTTAACAGCTGTCCAAAAGACAATCATTGACACCTTGCACAAGGAGGGCAAGACACAAAAGGTGATTGCTAAAGAAGCTGGCTGTTCGCAGAGCTCTGTGTCCAAGCACATTAACAGACAGGCGAAGGGACGGAAAAAATGTGGTAGAAAAAAGTGTACAAGCTCTAGGGATAACCGCACCCTGCAGAGAATTGTGACGACAAACCCATTCAAAAATGTGGGGGAGATCCACAAAGAGTGGACTGCAGCTGGAGTCAGCGCTTCAAGAACCACCACGAGGAGACTCATGAAAGACATGGGATTCAGGTGTCGCATTCCGTGTGTCAAGCCACTCTTGAACATGAAACAGCGCAAGAAGCGTCTCGCCTGGGCCAAGGACAAAAAGGACTGGACTGATGCTGAGTGGTCCAAAGTTATGTTTTCTGATGAAAGCAAGTTCTGCATTTCCTTTGGAAATCAAGGACCCAGAGTCTGGAGGAAGAGCGGAGAAGCACAGAATCCACGTTGCATGAGGTCCAGTGTAAAGTTTCCACCGTCAGTGATGGTGTGGGGTGCCATGTCATCTGCCGGTGTTGGCCCACTCTGTTTCCTGAGGTCCAGGGTCAATGCAGCCGTCTACCAGGAAGTTTTAGAGCACTTCATGCTTCCTGCTGCTGACCAACTTTATGGGGATGCAGACTTCACCTTTCAACAGGACTTGGCACCTGCACACAGTGCCAAAACCACCAGCACCTGGTTCAAGGACCATGGTATCCCTGTCCTTGATTGGCCAGCAAACTCGCCTGACCGTAACCCCATAGAAAATCTATGGGGTATTGTGAAGCGGAGGATGCAATACGCTAGACCCAACAATGCAGAGGAGCTGAAGACGACTATCAGAGCAACCTGGGCTCTCATAACACCTGAGCAGTGCCACAGACTGATCGAGTCCATGCCACGCCGCATTACTGCAGTTATTGAGGCAAAAGGAGCCCCGACTAAGTATTGAGTGCTATACATGCACATTCTTTTCATGTTCATTCTTTTCAGTTGGCCAACATTAGAGAAACAAACATTTTTTCATTGGCCTTTAGAATATTCTAATTTTCTGAGATACCAGATTTGATGTTTTCATTGGTTGTCACCTATAAATATCAAAATTAAACGTAATAAACATCGGAAATACATTGGTCTGTGTGCATTGCATGAATATAATGTACAAGTTTCACGTTTTGAATGGAATTACTGAAATATTTTCAACCTTTTGATGATATTCTAATTTACTGGCCAGCACCTGTATCTGAAGACAGTGACCACGAAGAAGGACAGATCTCCAGGGAACCAGGGTTTGAATGTTTGTTCAATCTTTATTTTTTTATTTGAACAACCTTCAACCCTCAAGCTAATTGTAAGATTCAGCTTCATTCCAGCATTATTTATCTTTTTACAATAAATAATTATTTTTGCTAAAACAACATTTTTTGGTATAGCAGTGCACGGTGCGCAAGAGAAGCGCCCCATGGCAGTGCGAGGTGTGCAGAGTGGGACTCTGCCTGCAGCTGGAGAGAAACTCCTTCAAGGCCTACCACATCAAATAAAAACGTCTGAAAGTTTACAAAAATAAATGGTCTTAAAAAGCGCTAAAAAAGATACCAAGGTTCAAACTTTCTTAAGATTAGATGCAATACAATTCAAAGTTTAAATTGTGCATTCCAAATTGTTTGCCCAGTAATTTTGAAGTTCCTGTTCAATAATAAATGTAAAAAATTCAAATCCGTTTTTTGCTCTTTTTTTCACTTTAAAGCTGATTTTTTAAAGGCTTTAATAGAAAGAAAGCTTATTAAGATTATCACTTGTAAGTCGCTTTCGACAAAAGCGTCTGCTAAATATATAAACATAAACATGAATAAATTCTAAATACAAACCATACAATGAAAGCTGAGGTTGTTCCGAAAAAAGGAGAAGAGTTACACACACTTTGCACTTTTTATTACAATTTTACAGCCATAAGATTAAAAAAATACCAGGCAGCCCTGTTATAATTATGGTCATAAGAGGGTTACTAAGACGGCGATGCACAAACAGGAAGTGATTGGCAGTCATTCCACTCCAATCCAGTTGGTGGCAGTAATGCACCAAATTGTTGTTTGCCAAGTGCCATAAGACCACAAATAAGAAGAAGAAGAGAGGCAGGAGGGTTCATAAAAACACAAAGTGATAGTCAAAACATCAAGCATGAAATGGAGTTATCCTAGTGGCTCCAATGAGAGAAAGAAGCAGCTTGTTTTAAAAAGCTTTAATTTTCACTTCTGAAAGTGACGTCGTTTTTCGATGTAAACATCAAAGGAAGCAGAAAAGGAAAGACAATGGAAAATGTTTAAAGGGAGGAAAACATAGACCAAAATGGAAAATAGAAAAAAAAAAATAAAAAACAAAGGCAAAAGCACAGGAGCACTGACAGGAAAAAGAAAGCAGATCAAATATTGAAAGTGCTCAAAGGGAGGGAAATACAGGGGGAAAAAAGAGGAGGACTAATAAAAAGGGGTAATAACTCATTTTAGAAGAAGGGAGGGTTTTGCAAATCCAGTTAAAGGTAAGATTGTCGAAAATTTAGTGTAAGGGGCCCCATGTCTGTGTTCGCCTTGGGCCCCCAAATTGCTAAATTCGCCACTGGTTTTAAAAACGTTCTTTGTATCTGAGTTTGTGAAGTCTGGGTTGTAAAAGTGAATTTGCTGTTTATTTAGAAATTTGTTTATAAATCCATCCGACACAATCTGTGCCAAGTCTACACACCCTTGTGTGGAGATTCTCGTGCGATCCACGGGGTCAAGAGGTCATGACGGACACTGCCGGTGGAGTGAACCTCTCGGTATCAGGAACCCGTGGATTAGCTCCGATAGGACCCGTCTATTTTGAGATCTCTCCAGATGACAGCAGGAAGCTGGAATGCTTGTTTGCATCAAAGTCTGTTTGTTTGGCTCTTAGAAGTGCCGTTTGTCTGATATTACTCGCAGCGTTGCAGAGAGGCTTTGACTGGAGGTCAAAGGAGAAGATGGTTTCAAAAATGCTTCTTCCTCAACTTGGCTGAAACGGGAGTCTGGAAGTCGAGGGAGGGGACTTTGGCGGTCTGATTCTTGGCTACAGAAGCTGGCCCTTGGCATGTGGAACATCACCTCGCTGGTGGGGAAGAAGCTTGAGTTGGTGTGTGAGATTGAGAGATTCCGATTAGATATAGTCAGACTCACCTCAACGCATGCCTCTGGCTCTGGAAACAGTTTCCTTGAGAGGGGTTTGAAACTCTACCACTCTGGAGATGCTCCCTCAGCGAGACGCCAAGCAGTGGTGGGCAAACTAGTTGCTAGGTGCCTGAATGTTGGGCTTTACCCTGGTGAACGAGAGGGTGGCCTCCCTCCGCCTACATGTAGGCAGATGGGTTCTGGCTGCGGTCTGTGCTTATGCACCAAACTACAGCTCAGATTACTCACCCTTTTTCGAGACCTTGGAGGGGCTGCTGGAGAGTGCTCCTTCCAGTATCTCCCTCATTCTGCTGGGGGAATTTAATGCTCACGTGAGCAAAGACAGTGAGACCTGGAGAGGTGTAGTTTGGAGGAACGGGGCTCCCAACGCGTTAGAAACAAACGCTTGGTCACCATTAATCAGTTTTAGATTCTTCAGGTGTGAGAATGTGTTGATTTGTTAGCAGAGTTGTGTTTCTGTGGAGCATACAAGTTACCTTGTACTGCTTACTGATCACCTCATGCTATTTTGTCACAAGTAAAAATTGTGCATAGAGATGATCAGGTTGTTTATTGTGGTCTGTGGAATGTTGGCCTCTTCTATAGGAGGATCTTTGTTGACATCTTTTTTCAACATTTTTCACATGCATGAGTGGCTGTGTGGCAAAAACATACTGTTATCGACACACAGCGTACACTTTTATTAGAGTTTATGGACCAAATCCCTGATGTATAAACACTTCAATGTCTAAAGACAAGAAGAGGTTTAGAGAGAAGCTTAAAATCTGTATTGAAGGCAAAATTAAAGTTATTAAAAGCCCGTATGAGCTCTTGATGGAAACATTGGTCCGATTCGCCAGTGTTTTATTTTATTTTATTTTATTTTTTTATTTTGTTTTATTTATTTATTTCAAAAATCTGCTGGGGAGACATTTATTCCTATTCAATATTAAGCCCACAAGCCTTCACTCATGGCATCCTCTTGATGAGTTTCAAGACGGTTGGAAAACCAAGGGAGGCTCCAACCTGCAATATGCTCTTTAAGGAATTGCCTGATTACCCCAATTATTCCAAAAATAACTTTATCAGATATTCCTGCCATGTGTGAACAGTGACAGTGATTCAGAAGTTAGGAGTTTGCTTTGTAAACGTGGGTTCAATAGGCTCCATCCTTGGAAACTTCACCAGTTTGACCTGCTGATGGGGGTTAGAGGTGCTGATGGCACCAATTGCCGTCATTAAATGACAAATGGCACCACAGCAGCTTAGACTACAATGTAGCTTATCACCATCAGTGTGTGTGTGTGTAAGTGTGTTGTGAGTCCCTGACTTAGAAAAACACTTTTAAAATGCTAGAATGCTATTACTACCAGCATTCTGAGACAGTTGTTGACAACAGAATGTTGAATTACCTTGGTTTAAACAAACAAGTGTGCTCACTTTATAATGAGATGTGTAGCCAATCAAAAAATGAATTTATGGAAGCCCGCTGCTCGCTGCTCAACCATGTTTGCTCTGAAGTCACGTTTGAGTACGAGAGCTTTGGCAAGATTTTTCATCTGACAGGTTAATGTTTGTGTTTAAAATCAGTTTGCCATGTGCAGGGGTGGACCGTTAAAGCGCCCGAGCGCCAATGGCGCTAAATTTTCTCGTTGGGCGGTAAATACTTGTCGACTTACCGCCCGGGTGGCGCCCAAGCCTTCTTTGTCATTTACACACCGGCTTTCACCTACATCATGGCCCCGACCTGTAGGAAGCCGCCGTTTTCATTTTGCGCGCGTGAACCTGCGCGCCTCTAGCCATGTACTGCACTTGTACGATTCGTGCACATACTGCATGATTCTAGTTATAGTCACGTGAACTATAAGTTCACTATTAAAGACGAAGTGGAACCACGCTAGAAACACACGAGCACGCAGGGAGATGCCGCCGCCACAGGGATGGGATTTCTTGATGAAATCTCCGGCAAAACGCTTTAAAACTGGTGAGGAGAAGCGAGACAGTTCGAAACGGTATGAAGCAGAGAAGGGTGTGTGTAGGTGGAATGATTCTTGGTGGTTTAAAGAAGACGGGAGGCGCAGATAATGACCGTGTTTGAGTTGAGCAGCGCCTCGCCTGGAAAACAGACGAGAGCAGACGGAAGCAGCAGGGGAAGTGGCTGAAAGGCGGGGTTTACGCCGGGGACACACCGGCCGCGGAAGCGCCGGGAAGCGAATCGCTCACGAAATTCGGCCGCTGCTCAGTTCGGATCAGGCGCGCCCCAGTCGAGGCACGCCTCGGCTCAGCTGTAGTTTTTCTTTTAACTATTTGGTGTCCTCCATTTCCGCTCTGCCTTTTCTCAGCTCTTTTCTTCTACGCGCGTGTGTGTGTGTGTGTGTGTGTGTGTGTGTGTGTGTGTGTGAGAGAGAGAGAGAGAGAGTGAGAGTGTGTGTGTGTGTGTGTGAGAGAGAGAGAGAGTGAGAGTGTGTGTGTGTGTGTGTGTGTGAGAGAGAGAGAGAGAGAGAGAGAGAGAGAGAGAGAGAGAGAGAGAGAGAGAGAGAATCTATGTTGTGAGCCAATTGTTTCTGCCAGTTGAATCTCATCATTATCATTTAAAACGGTTCAGTTGTTATTTTGACTCATTTTGGCAGCTGACCAGCGGGGCCGGTAGATTCTTGGCAGGGCCGGTAAATATTCACAGTTACCGGCCCGGCTGGCCGGTTGGTTTTGAAGTTAATGTCCACCCCTGCATGTGGAAGCACCAAACTGTTATATTTGTGACTTTTTAATGTCATGTGAAGTGTCCGACATTTCTGAAATCCTGCCACTCAGGCCTTACACCCGACGTCCTTCCGAGTGCACCAGAACACTTGTAATACTCAGCACAATGTAAGATTATCTGATAAGATTATCTTTAAAGCCATTGCGGTAATAGTACAAAATGTTAAGATTGGCAGAGATGGTCAAAAATCGGCATGATTTTCCTGTTTTCTGTTCATTGACTACAAATGGAAACTATCTCTGGCTATAATCTGGTGTAAAATATCTTTAATGCTTTTGCAAATTGTCCTTGTTAAATAAACAAATAAACAAACAAAACTGTGTGAACCAGGCTACACACAAGTGCCCTTGGGGCAACCACATAATGAGGAACCAGATTTGGAGAAATGGAAAGAAACCTTGGTGATGTCACTGAACAAAAAGTGTTCCTATTTCCCAGTTAGCTGGCTCATTTACAGGACCAAAATGTATTTTTATTTAGTTCTTTTTTTTTTTTTTTACAATGTCTAACTTTGTCTTTAAATAAAAGTTATCAACTTAGTTACTGATTAACATAATTGTCTTCTTACCATTCAGCATAGATATCAGTCTTTTTCTTTCTTCCTCCACCTTCTTTATCACTTCAACGTGTTGACGGTTTGTTTTTTCTAAGGTTTTGACGTCCCGGCTCAAGGCGATGGATCGTTCCCGTAATCTATTGCACTGGGCTGGCGTGACTTGTTCACAATTTATGTCCTCAATGGGCTGCGTTGTGTTGCATTCTGAGATGATCGATTCTTTGTCACAATGACCTGGCACACAAAAATAATTATTAATGACATTTTTACGTTTTTTGAAAGGAACTTTAAAAAAAAGGTATACTTACTTGTGAGGCGTAGAGATACATTGAGGATGGCTTGAGTGATACACAATCCACCAAAGAGAAGCATCATTAGATAATATGCTCTTCTCCCTGTAAATTAAATGTTCACATTTTTTTCTTATACCAAAATGAAGTTTTAATGACATGTTTTTACTGTTATGCTGCAGAATGTGTGATGCTAGTTGAATGGATAGTGTGAAAATTTTAAATCATTTGTGATGATTCCACCTTGTTCTGCCATGCCTGTCTTTTTTTATTTTTTATTTTTTTATTGCAGTAACATGGTTGACCTTACACGGTTTCCGTGGTTCTTCTGACGCACGAGCACAAAACCTCAGATGATTAAGCAATGAGCTCATGTTGCTGAACTGGTGGGGGACGAAGGGAGGGGCTCATATGGACATAACACCAGCACTGAGACAGCTCTGGCCTCTCTCCTTGTCACCGCAGCAAGAGCTGCGTCGTTTCCCGCCTTCCCAACAGCAGTATTTGCTGCAATGCCCTTTTAATTCTCCCACATTTGAATAAAAACCCTTCTATAATTACTGCTGTCAGGTATTTTCATTACATACCTAATTACTTTAACAGCAGATGTATTATCACACTCTAGAACACAAAATCAAGGGTTCCCTGTCTCAAATCTTTTAGCCATGATTTTACAAATCTAAAAATTTTGTAAAAAAATATTTTTCCGTTACCTGTTCTCTTGTTTATTTCCTGTTTTGGCTCTTCATTTACGTAGTCTTGCATCTTTATTCCCGGTATCACGCTGTATGTTTACTGAGCTCTTAGCGTTGCGTTGTGTTCTTGCAGAGTGAGGAAATGATGTCTTTACAACATTTATAGACTGCTTAGGAAAACAGGAAGAAATGATGCAGTGGAAAAAAACAGACAACCCACAAAGATTTGTCATGTCAATCAGCATTTAAATTTGACCAGTAACACCGAAGCTAACGGATTTCTGCCTTCAATCTCTGTTATTCTGTTTTGCTGTTTTCATCACTTCTCTTGAATGTATTTCTCATTTTAGTATGTTTTTTTCTGTTTTCTACATTTTATACTGATATCAAAATAATCACCTTAAATTTAGGTTGTTTTCATTCATACCCATCACTGCTGTTTTTAAAAGGCATTACTTTTGTCACAAATGCCGGTGGGCTGCTATTTTTACAAAGACGCTCTTGCAACTCACTTAACATTAACACAGCAATACTTTGACAAAAAAAATGTGGCAGTGACTCATTTTTAACTTGATTTATATGGAAAAAGCAGAGAATAGAAAACGAGCACAAAAACGTCTCCAAAAAGTGAGCGTCTGCTGACATCATCTATAGCTGTGGATTAGTACATAGACTAGAATAGACTTTGTTGATCCTACAGTGGAGAAATTCACTTGTTACAACAGCTTCAACACTTAAGAGAATTATAGCAAAGGCACATGTATTGTAACCTTCAGCCACTAAAAACCACAAATAAAAAAATTAAAATAAAAAACTTTGATTCCAGAACTATGCAGCATACTGTAATGAACACAGACATACTATGTAAATCTGTTATTGCACAGGTATTGACCACATATTGAGTATTGCATTGGTGTTGTTGTGTACCAGGATAATACCAGAACAGCTTAAACTAAGGAGTTATAAACTCTTATTGCAGAGAGGATGAAAGATCAACGGTAGCATTCTGTTTTACATCTGGGATGTCTCAGTCTGCCTCTGAAGGAGCTGTCCATGATCTTCACAGTAGAATGCATTGAATGGGAGTTTTTTTTTAAAGATGGTCATCTTCCCCAGCATCCTCCTTTCACACATCTTGTCAAACGAATCCAGTGGGCAACCCAGAACCTAACTAGCTTGTTCAGTCTCTTCCTGTCTCAGTCAGAGATGCCTGCACTCCAACTGACCACAGCAGAGTGGATGATAGTGCTCTCTCCCTAGAGATACTAGTATCTCTAGCCATGGTGGCGTTGATGTTTTGTGACAACGGTCTTGTCAGAAGACTGCTTCCGTGGTGTCCTCATGCCAGCATCCTACCGGTTTAGCTCGGCTAACCCGTTTACATGCAGAATGTGATCAAATTGCTTTGTTTTTTAACATCCCCTTTATTGACCAGATCAATATCCCAAAAGTTTGATTTGAAGCTATACTCTAAATAAATAACGTCTTAATTTTTTTCAACCGTGTTTTTAGAAGTAATTGTGTAATTCTGGATAAGGGAAATTTCCACATGAGGCAGAGATTACACTCGCACAGCTATAACCAGAAGTCGATGAGAAATACATGCTACAGGAAATTTGGGTGTCACCTAAAGCCACGGTTTCATCATCAAATGGCTGCAGGACAAATGTTCTTTAGTCATAGTGTTATTTTCCACATAAAAGCTATTTTTTTATGGTCTGGGTGTGTAAACATGACATAAACCTGAGAGCTATATGCACTAAAAAGATGCATCTCTCAACTTCATTCCAGGATGAAAAACAGACTGAAAAAGGAAGAAATGTATGTGTTAGAAAACCAAGGTCCAAAAACGAGAAGTGGATTGCATTATAAACCTTTGCAGAGCACTAATTTCTTTTGTCAGTGTGGCTGATTGCATGTAAGATGGTGAGAGCTGTTCATAGAGAACAAACTGAGATCAGTTTGGATTATGTAAATGAACCAGATGCATCAAACAGACAATGCTCAGGTAAAGGCACTGAAGTGTATCCAGGTAAGAAGTTTTACCAATAGTACTGAAAATGTTGAGCCAAATCCAAATAAAATTATTCTGTTAAAGGAACTAGTCATAGAAAAATGTCGAGTTGCGAATCCCAAAAAAGGCTCTAAAATAATTTTTTATGTGTTTTTCTCCATCCAGGGCAAAAGCTGGTAAAGGTGGTTGCAGTTAGTTTTGGTCTCCTGTGCGTCATACAAGCTACTCTGAATGTTTATTTACGTGTTCTTCTGTGTAAGTACCTGTACCATGTACTAATTTATGAAGGTTTTACAGTGGTTTGTGGCTTACATTGTGCATTTAGAAAAACAACAGACCAACTTATTTCTCTGTTTGAAAAAGCTGGGGACTGTTATAACAATGTCGTTTATGAAAGATGAGAAGAAGTAAACAATAACTAGAGAAGACAAAAATAAATTATTGTGAATTTCCACTTGACTCATGTTACAAATGTGTTTACTCACAACAAATAACGTATTTAACTAACTTGATATTTTAAAACATACAAAAAAGGATTCATTTTTAAAGTTTATGTGATGAATTTTTTTATTTTTATTTTTTACTTTTTCAGATGCTCCAGCTGAGAATAAACACAGAAACCTGACTGACTGGTGTTACAACACATCTCGTGTCACATTTAATGTGAAGATTTGTTGAGTATTAATTTCCTTCCTTGTGAAATACAAATATTAACGATGGATTGTTTGTATGCTGTTATAAAACCTCCTCAAAGACAAGTTAATATATGAACTTTTCCTCTTTTGGCTTTTAGGTTTTTACGATTGTAAGTTACTGAAGCCATGTTGGAAACTGTAAATGTTTTAGTGATTCTCTTGTTTCCCCACAGATGAGTATTTTAAACAAGGATGGGTTTATTTTCATCCAAGCTTGTATTACATCTCTACTACCAACAAAACCTGGGAGGAGAGTAGAGAGGACTGTCTGCAAAAACAAGCAGACCTGATGATTATTAATACCAAAGAAGAACAGGTAAGCCTCAGCCATGTAGAGAAATATTAGTATTAAGCTTGATTGTATAATTATTTTTATTGTTGTTGTTGTCATTATTATTATGATTATTATTATTATGCATTTGTTTTCTATATACATAAGAACTTTGCAAGACACTTTGACAAGCTCACATGGATTGGGCTTTATAACGACACAGGAGAGTGGACATGGGTGGACGGGACTCAACTCAGTGAAAGGTGTTTATTGTGTACACACACACACACACACACACACACACACACACACACACACACACACACACACACACACACACACACACACACACACCAGAGGTGTGACCAAGTAACTGCTTTGCAAGTCACAAGTAAGTCACAAGTCTTTCCAGTCAAGTCCAAGTCAAAGACAACCAAGTCCAAGTCGAGTCCAAAATCAATGATGTGGAAGTTCAAGTCAAGTTGTTACCTTTGAATCTTCAAGTCATAATCAAGTCATCTGTTCAACTTCAATTGATGACAATGATAATAAATAAATTCCAGAAATAAAGCTTCTTAAAGCTTCATTTATTTGCTGAAACAAGAAGAAAGTTCAACTGAAAAAGATTATAAACAAAGTGTTGCTGCATTTAGCAGTACAAGATCAAACCCAGAACGAAGAATGATTTATGATTTTTTTTTCCATGTCGTGCCACTTTTTTGCTAAAATATCAAATATGCTAAAGTCATCATCAAGTCAACAGATGCAAGTCGATTCAAGTCGCAAGTCACTGGCGTTCAAGTCCGAGTCAAGTCGTAAATCTTCATAGATTTTATCAAGTCAAGTCAGGAGTCATTAAAATAATGACTCGAGTCCAAGTCATGTGACTCGAGTCCACACCTCTGATTTACATACATACGCACTCAATAATGTAATATAAATGTGTTAACATTTCAGCTACTGGGGTCCTGGAGAACCAAATCAACTTGGAGGTAACAATGAAGACTGTGTCGAGATGAGGTTTCATGAAATTGAAGACAGCTGGAACGACGCACCATGCAGTAATGTAAATTTTTGGATTTGTGAAAAAGATGCTGCACTGGAACTTGAATAAAAGTCCATAAAGTTCATATTCTCTGAAGAAATGATGTTTCTCTCTCTCTCTCACTTTGTGTGTGTGTGTGTGTGTGTGTGTGTGTGTGTGTGTGTGTGTGTGTGTGTGTGTGTGTGTGTGTGTGTGTGTGTGTGTGTGTGTGTGTGTGTGTGTGTGTGTGTGTGTGTGTGTGTGTATTTAAACTGTTTTCCTTCCACCAGGGGTTTCTTGTATTATTTGCCTTTTTTCCTTCAGTACAAAACCTGCACCCTCTTTTTCTTGTGAAAAAACAAATTAATCCAGTTTTCACCATTTGCTGCTTAAAGGTTTTATTTTGTTTGGATATGGATGTTTGTTCATGCCAAATATGTAACACACTTGTGTAAGCTTGTGATACTTATTAATAAAATGGATAGTTTCTTATTTGTTGTCAAATAAATGAAAATTAAAATTCATGATTTGTGAGCATAAAATCACATCAAAGGAAAAAAAAAATACACAAGCTCACCTGAACTTTTGATTCAGGTAGCCGTACACACATTTTTACGGTTGTTTGGTTTTGGGTATGAAAATGTAAGTAACATCTTTTAGTTCTTTTTAAAACACAGAAAGGTTTTATTTACCTGCAACGTTTCGTTTGCGGCTGCAAACTTCGTCAGGCTAACGCTGATGGTGGCGTCACTTCCTTCTCCATTTATTCGCGGGCAGCAGTCGCCCTCAGCTGCCCGCTCTCTCCTCTCCGACAATGCAGTCCCATGCGCGTTCCAACGAGTAAACTCCATCGTCCCTGTTCATGGTCCCACATCCACGTCTCCTTATCTCGATAGCTTTTTTTTATCCATCTTTTGTATTTCTGTTGTTCGGTGTTTATGATCCTTGTGTTGTCCTAGTCCATTATATGGTTTTCTTTTGTGCAGTGATCTGTTACGGCTGACTTCTTTATTGTGCTTTCTGCTTCTTCTTTTGCTGCTCTTGTGTGTTTTCGACTTGCCTTTCTCGCACTCCTTTCTATATTCTATTGTCCGTGTGTCGAGTTGGTGTCCGGTTTCTCCTATGTATGTTTTATTGCAGTCTTTGCATGGGATTTCGTAAATGACTCCACATTTAAGTCCAGCTGGTATCTTGTGTTTTGGGTGTACCAGTCTGTTTCTAACTATTGTGTATGGTTTTGTTGGTGTGTTTATGTTGTGTTTATTCATTGTTGTTCTTACTTTTTCTGTTATGCCTTTTATGGATGGTAGGGTTATCACTGGTTTATGTTCTTGTCTTTTTGGGTCATCCGGTTCTTTGCTTTTGTTGTTTTTTTCTTTTTGTTGTTGTTTGTTGTTTTCCTTTGTTTATTGCCCATGTCGGGTATCTGCAGGTCTTTAAAGCGTGTTGTATGTGTTTGTCCTTTTGTTTACGGTCTCTTTCTTCTGTTACTATGTTTGCTCTGTGATATAATGTTATGATTACTGATATTTTGTGTATGGTGGGGTGTTCTGATGTCCATAATAAATATTGGTCTGTGTGTGTTGGTTTTCTGTATGGGTTTATGTTTAGGGTCCAGTCGGTCTGCCTGGTTATTTTCATGTCCATAAATGCTATGCTGCCATCTGTTTCTGACTCATATGTGAACTTTATGTTGCCCGTGTTTCCAATATTATTCAAGTGTGGTGTTAGTGTTTCTGTTTGTCCTTTTGGTATGATTTCCAGTATGTCGTCTACGTAGCGTTTCCATAGTTTTTCCATAGAGCGGGCAGCAGAAGGCGAAAACATCCTCTGCTGCCTTCGGATAAACGGAGAAGGGGATGACGCCACCATCAGCGTCAGCCTGAAGAAGTTTGCAGCCGCAAACGAAACGTTGCAGGTAAATAAATCCTTTCTGTGTTTTAAAAACAACTAAAAGATGGAATTAGAATTTCAATACAGCAAGAACACACCAAAGATGTTTAAAGAAAAATATGGACAACAAGGAACAAAGGACTTCTGCCGTTTGGAACAATTACATCAAAAACGCGCACGTCTTAAGAACCACCTTCGCTTCAATTTAAGATGCCCGGCCGAAAACATCACGCCAACAAGCCTACAGCTAAAACACTGATCTGGACCAAGACAGCACAAAACAGAATGGAAAGAGCACACAGAGCACTACTCAAGGAAAGGATAAGAAACGTCATAACCAAACAGAAGTGTCAGAACCCAAGTCCCCAAGCCAGCCTCTCCCAGCTAGCCGATCTCCACCATGGACCCATCTCCCAGCAAGCCCCTCGCGGCGATTCCCTCCACTTCACACCTACATCACTAACCGCGACTATATACGGAAGTCGCCTCCCCAGCTCACCACTCAATCATCGTTTCTTCAGATCCATGATCAGAGTTTCCCATCAACCGATTCATCTTACGAACTATCCGCTCACAGTAAGTGTTCTTACTTACTTCTGGAAAACCCAGCATTTCCGTGTCACTTCATTGACGCTCGAACGCTCCGGGATTCCTAGATTAAATCGTGAGCTGGAGTTTCACCGACGCTATCACTTCCGCGACTGTGAAACCATGCTCAACTCCCGAATCCAGCCGACCAGTCTTACAGGATGACCGAGTCCTTTAACCCAGCGGAGTTTGAGCGAATGAAGAATGAGATTGTTCAGCTTCACGCCTTGGTCGACCGGCTCAACACCAAGGTGAACTCTCTGACCGACCTCACCCTTCAATTATCCACATCCATCAATGCTCTTCAGTAGCAAGCCCTTGCACCACCTAAGGAGGAGCCGCAGTTCAGCCTACCGGAGAGGTGGAACGGAGTGGTTGGGAGCCCAGATGGTCTGCTCGCCTCTCTCGACATGCAATTCGAGTGCCAACTAGGACGCTTCCCCACTGCCCGCTCTCGGGTTGCGCACCTCACCTCCCTGCTTTCTGGACGTGCTCAGGAGGGCCGCTGCTCTCTATAAATCTAAATCCCCTACCTGCAATGACTATGCTGCTTTTGTGGCCGCCTCAGGAAGACCTTCGTTCCACCCAGTAGTGAAGTGGGGGCTGAAGCACGTCTCCTCAAGCTCCGCCAACGGGAACGGTCGTGTGCGCCTATGCGTCCGAGTTTCGCACCATCACGGCCAAACTACAATGGGATGACTCTGCCCTTCGGGCTGTCTTCTTGCAGGGGTTGGCACCCTACATCCGAGACGAGATGGCGGGAAAAGAACTGCCCCAGACCCTGAATGAAGTTGCCGACCTGGCGCTGTGCATAGACCAGCAGGTTCTGGTTCGACCCAGGTCATCCACTCGCTCACTCAGAGCTCCTGGACCTCTTCCTCATTCACCAACGCCAGCTCCTGGACCCACTTCAACTGAGGAGCCTATGCAGCTAGGCCACCTTCCCCCGGAGGAGAGACAGCAAAGGTGCCTATTGTGGCTCTCCTGACCACCAGCGCCTGGACTGCCCATTATGGCCAGGAAACGGAGGAACCCACTGAGTATCGGGGTAGCTCAGCCCGGGTCACCCTCTGCCCCTATCTCTTCCCACCGACTCCTTCTTCCTGTCACCCTCTTTTACAACGAGACCTCACATCAGGTACATGCTCTGGTGGACTCAGGGGGCCGCCGACAACTTCATGGACGTGGATCTGGCTAAACGCCTACAGATCCCCCTGACTCCCCTGGAACGAGTTGTTCTGGTGACCTCGGTGGACGGCAGACCTCTCCAGCCCTATCCTGTCCAAGACCAAACCCAGTCACTCCAGATGGTCCTCCAAGGCCACCGGGAAACCCTCCACTTTCTCATCATCTCCGCTCCCTCCTCTCCTCTAATCCTGGGGTTCCCTTGGCTCCGTCTCCACGACCCCCAGATTTCCTGGTCCCAGAACTGCCTTTTAGGCTGGGGGACCCAGTACCAGGCCCACCTCTCTCCTCCTCCACCCATGGCAGACCGCCCGGCTGGTGGTCTTGGTCCTCTACCGCCCAATCTCCCACTGCCCTATCAGGACCTGGCCGCAGTATTCGATAAGCGACGCACCACCACACTGCTGCCTCACCGCCCATATGACATGGAGATCAAGCTACAACCAGGTATCAGTCCTCCCCATGGGCACCTTTTCTCTCTCCCTCCAAATCCAGAGCTATGGAGGAATATATCAACCAGGCCCTCCAGCAGGGTTTCATCCGACCCTCCTCTTCCCCGGGTGCTGCAGGCTTCTTCTTTGTGAAGAAAAAGGAAGGTGACCTTCGTCCCTGTATAGATTACCGGGGTCTAAACAAGATCACTATCAGGGACCACCGTCCCCTGCCACTCCTCACAACTGCTCTGGACTCCATCTCCCATCTTCACAAAACTGGACCTCCGGAGTGCCGACAATCTGGTCCACATCAAAGCTGGGGATGAGTGGAAGACCGCATTCATCACACCCACCGTTCATTGGGAGTACCAGGTCATGCCCTTCGAGTTGTGCAATAGCCCTGCCGTATTTCAACGCCTCATTAATTAACTATGTCCTCCGCGACATGCTGGGCCGGTGGGTGTTTGCCTACCTGGATGACATCCTAATTTACTCCAAGTCCGAGGCCGAACACCTCCACCATGTTTGTGCCGTCCTGACCCGGATCCTGAACAATAACCTATACTGCAAGCCCGAGAAATGCTCTTTCCACCAGCGGACCATCTCATTTCTGGGCTTCATGATTTCGGATCAGGACATAAACATGGACCCTCAGAAGGTCCAGGCGGTCACTGACTGGCCCCTTCCTACGAGCCTAAAACAGCTACAGAGTTTTCTGGGCTTCTGCAACTTTTACCGCCATTTTATTAAGAACTTCAGCACCATTGTGGCACCGCTCACCTCCCTCACCCGACCAAGCCCACCCGGCCAACCGCTCCGTCTAACTCCAGACGCCATGCGGGCCTTCCGCCACCTGGTCACCCGGTTCACGTCGGCCCCTATCCTCCACCATCCAGATACTACGGAGCCCTTTGTGGTCGAAGTCGATGCCTCAGACGTCGGTGCCGGTGCCATCCTGTCCCAAGGCGGGCCCAACGACAGACTCCATCCCTGTGCCTACTTCTCT